TCAATATTTAATTTAAAAATATGCCAAAAAAATTTATTCAGAAAAAATCTCCTGGGCGTACTTTTTTTCCCAACTACTCTTATCTCTTTTTATATTCTATAATCGTTTCAAGAATTTGGTTATATGTTTTGATAGCGAAACACCTGGGACTTTGAAAACTTGTCAGATAAAACGGACCTCTAACCCCCTTTCTAACTGTCTTTACTAGGTATTCGCATATGCTTAACCGTTGAATTAATTCAATATATGGGTGACAGTTCGTAATTAAGTATCCAGTACGGGAAATAGATAAAGAGATCCGATAGTATGTACTGAAAAATCAATGCAGTCAAAAGATTTTCAATAACCTTAGTGATCCCGTTTGCTTCAGCACCACAGTGACTGTCTGAACGTATCATTAGAAGGAATGCCCTTGTCCACAGGTAGGAACTACCCGGTTAGTAAGCAGATAGTACGATGGGCCGAAGAAGTGATCAGAGAACTGGTGGCAGACGACCGCATGAAGTACTCAGGCAATCAGAGCACCAAGGCGACAGCAGTGCTCACCTATTATGCCAGATGGGACACATCGACTCAAGACTGCACTGCATGAAATGTCATGGGACAAAATGGAGACTCAAGAAGCGTAGAATATAAACCATGATCAAAACTACAGATTTGGATAAAATTGTGATTTCAAAATCGATTTAGAGCCCATGTTTTTACAGAAACGATGAATGTAGTGAAGACTCATATATGGGACGTGATCATTTAAGATTTCAAATTTGACGTCAATCATCAGTCGCGCAGAGAAAAAGCGTGATTGCAGCTGAAGGAAAATCAATTTTTGATTTTTTTGTGAAATTTCCGTGAATTATTTTAATCGACCGAAAAGCTGTGAAATAGCACAGCTTGCTCCGATTACAGCAATTCAAGAAAGCAATTAAAAACTAAGAAATCTCAAAAAATTGAAACCTTGGAATTTTCAAAAGTTATTTAACAGTTTTTCAGCTGTTACGGTGTTAAATTGTATGGTCATTAAATTGTAGGACACCCCGAATCACACCTGAAAACGCTTGAATATGAGATACTATTCTATAAAGTCTGGCGGTAGTTTGTGGAATCTGACTACGGAAAACATGCCCAAATCAGAAAAAATGTTCCGCTCTCTGGGGTTACTTGGAACAAAGAGATCAACAGAAACGAAGAAAAATTTTGGTCAATTAAATCTGATAAACAGATTTTTTACAAACATTTTCACAGAATTTTAAAATTATTTTGATATTTCTCAAAAACAATGATTGAACTTCTGAACGCGCTCTTGTTTTTACACGTACAAGATAAAAAACGAGTGTCTGGATCTGCAGATTAAAAAAGAAAGTACCTTTAAATATCTTAGTCTGGCTTCGATCTGTTTGTTCTAATTCGACAAGGGGTTTCAGTTTGTTCTTAAATTTCGCCAGTCAATCCTTTCTTTGGATTTCGACCAGCTCTGATAGTCCTCAGCTGGTTCACACCATGCCTCAGCTCAATACATGTTCCATTCGCAAGATTTATTTATGTTTACGTTCAACAGCGTAAAACGATTGACCAGCCTAAATTTATAGTTTTTTTTTTTTACAAGAAGCACTGGTTTGGAAGCATGAAGACTCGGTGATTTTTTTATTCGAGCTTTATAGAGCATATCAAATCCAAATAAATCTATCTAAATACCCCCAATATTGTTTTTTTCTCATCGTGATAGAAAATCCCCAATTACGAAAAAAACAGCTGAATCGTATCGAAAGGTACCTTTTTTATTTTTCGTTTATTTTAATAAGAATATGAGAGACTTTTGCTTTCTTCGAACAACAACGCCTATCAATTTCGATAATTTCGGATTTTTGCTTGGCATTCTTTAATGAAACAAGCTTGGAAAACTGGACCAATAGGCAATTTATAACAAGGATAGCTGGTTATTGTGCAAGTAGCACAGAATATTCCGACCATAATCGTATAAAAACCAATTTTTTTTTCAAATTAGTGTAGTTTTTTTCTGCGAGGTGAGATAAAAGGATCGGAACAAAAAATTAAAGCTTGGACATATTTGACAGTCATAGTAAAACAGGCAAAGAGAAAAAAAACAGTTATTAGAAAAATAACAAGAAAAACGAAAAAAAAATGGTTCAAAAATTTATTTTATGAAACTTCAAAAACTCTTTGTTGAAACGTTTCAAATTTTTGTTACTGAAAATTTTGATCTTTTTGATACCTAATAAGGCGCTAAAAGCTCCAAAAATGGTCGGAACGAAAACTGTGCTGATAAACTAAAGTCCCAGCTGAAGCTAGAGGTACCTATTTGATAACTTTTGAATTTATTGCACTTGTGCGGGATGAAGTAGGTAATTTTAAAAATTGGGCTTCACCGAAAACCTTAGTTGCTGCTCTAATGAAATATGAGTGAAAAAGATTGTTATTTTCCCAGTAAAATATTTTTGTGTTCAAACTTTAGAGCATCGTATTGTATGCAGGGAGACTTCCCACAACCTTTTGCCCCGATTAAAACATTGATATCAGATTGAGTTGTTTTCGAAAAGTCTAAAAGTTTCTAAGACCGACAAGAAATCGACACATTGACTTTTCTGAAGGCCAAATTTTTTTGTGTTATGAACTTTGGATGTGATCGCTTACACGTGGGAGCTTCTTCACTCAACCCTTCTTTTCATTTATTTGAACGCAAAATCTGGGTTTAGGCATGGTAGTTTTCTAGACAAGTCAAAAACGATCAAAAACCAAAGTTTTGACTTTTACAAGGGTCACAACTTTTTGCGCCAGAAAAATGGACGTAATCAATTATGCAGGAGGGGCTTTCACAACTCTTTCTACCCATTGAAACCAAAATCTCAGATTCGTGAAGGAAGTTTTCGAGAAAAAACAAAAACGTTTTTTTTTTAAATTGTTCAAAAATCGAAAATTTGACTTTTCCGATGACCGAAAGTTTGCTTGTAATGTGACGTATCTCCTTATGCAAGGAAGTTGATCACAACCTGTTCTACCAATTGAAACCATTATCTCAGATTTGGGAGGGTAATTTTGGAGAAAAGTCAAAATGTTTGCAAAAACAAGCAAAAAGTCACAAGTACGAATTTTCTAATGGTCATCGCTTTTCTCGTTATTGAGTTTGGGCTGAGCCGCTAGAGCAAAAGATCTTACCTCAACTCATTTTTTAAAATTGAAATCAAAACCTCCGCTTTTTCCAGGCCGTTTTCGAGAAACGTCAAAAAACTTCAAAAAAGTCAAAAAATCTAAGGATTTATTGTTCCGAGGGTCATAACTTTTCATGTAGAAAAATTTGGGCATAACTGTTTTATAAAGGGGACTTACCACAACCCATTTTTTGTAGCAATAAAGAAAATCAAATTTAGGAGGTTCGTTTTCGAGAAAAGTCAAAATCTTTCTTTTCTGAGACATAACTTTTTATGTTAAAATATTTGGGCTTAACTGTTTGTGCATGGGGGTTTTTTCAGCCGAAACAAAGTTTTGATAATAGATATAAATTATGACAACGAACGCTGATTAGAAGCGCAGAAAAGTTAAAGTTTCTTTAATTACACAGAGGCGAAGCTGCGTTTTGCAAATACTAGCGATAACAGGACAAAAAAGCAGATCTATATAGTGCTAAAAGAAAAAGTAGTTATGGGCCTAGAATTAGTAACAATGCAGCTAATTCTCGGATTCGATCAGCAACCTAGAGATTATGAGTCTCTCACAAACACTAGCCACAAATAAGACAGCGAACAGTTGCTATGAAAGTTCTGATTCTACAGATCGTGATCATAGCAAAAGTGCCATTAAATAAGTGACACTTTGATGAACACTTTTATTTGCGAGTTAGGTTGGAAAAAAGAAGGTTCGTGCTAACACACAGCGCTCGTAAGCTCCCCAGTGTAATAAACATAGCATAAAACAAGCTTGTTAAAGAAAACAAACAAAACAGAGCAGGCTTGTAATAGGCTTACATCGTTTTAAACAATTTTCAGTGCTTTCTGGGAACAAAATACAGGAACGGAAAAAATCGAAAAAAAAACGAAAATTGTAAAAAATTGTAAAGAATTTTTTTACGTCAATTGTAAAGAATTGTAAAGAATTTTTTTTACTATCGAAATTCTAGGCTTTCCAGCAAAAACTTTCTAGGCTTTCCAGCAAAAACAACAAGAGGCGAAGATGCACTACGCAAACTGGAAAGAAACCAAAAAATTTTTTTAAAATGAAATGAAGAAAAGGTAAACAAAAGCCTTGAAAATATAATTTTTGCTCGAAACATGCAGACACACACACTCCCATCGGCACCATGATCGCTCGACAATAAGCAAATACTAGCCACCCTAAGGCAGATAGAACAGATGCAATTTAATTGCCAATAAAAATGATATTGGAAAAATTCCATCAAATGAGCACTTTCATTTGCCTGTTGGACTGCAAAAATTGTTGATTCGTATAAAAAAAACAACTAACTCGGGCCAGTGTAAATACGAAAAAGTACCTCAAACATTTTACACAAATTGAATTGTGTTGGAGAACAATTAACCACCAAATTCATAAGCAAAGACTTCGACAGCCCATTAGCCAGCCCACTGAGACCTAATAGATGATGAACTTTTTTCACCATGTACTTAAATGGTAACTACCAAGCAGCAAAGAACGATCTTCAATTAAGCGGATGAAACACATGCTACCAAATCTCTGAATTGATTTGAGCAGAAATTGGACAGAAACTTGCGTGGGCTGGAAAAAAGTGACCTGATCGTATGATAAAAGCATTTTTGTGCTATTTTCTCTGCTCTACAGTTTTCTAACACAATAGTACCCACATTTCAAGCCAAAACTCACATTCCGTTATTTGTTTGGGGATACAAAAGGTTGCCTTTCTATGACTCGAGGTATTTTACTGAAGAAAAAAATTAGCAAAAAAATTGTTGAAAGAAATACTCTTACGTGAACACTCTAAATCGAAAGAACCTCAACAGAAACTACTAAAAACATAATTTTGTAATCTGAATTCATTTTAGGAAAGAAGAAATTGTCGTAGAAAATGTGAAAATATATGCTTTGAGCGACTGTCAATGATCAATTTGTCATTTTATGGTCCAATTTGTCAATTGATGGTCCAATGTCTTATGTGCAATTAGTGAATCTATGCACTTGAGTCTGATATAGTGCATGAGGCAAGCGTCGTATTTGCCGACATATAATCTGCCGAGTTTGGACTCTGATTCGTGTCGTCTGCGTGTATCTTGTATTTTGCATAATCATTTGTTATTACGCCATCGTTTGCATAATCATGCGCTATTAAATCATCACTTGTGTAATCCTGTGTTGTAGCGTCACTGCTGTCTGTTGTGCACATGCTGTCGTCCTTGGTAGCCTCGAGGTAGTTGGTGAGAAGGGTGAGTTTTTCCTGCAGCTGTCGCTTCTGTTCCTGATACTTCTCTTTAATCATAGCCATGTGCTGCTCCTCTTCTATGCGTAGGATGTCCAGAAACATCTCCAATTCGTGTTCCGAGAAACAGTCCCACTAAAAAGCAACATTTTTTAGTGGTTAATTCAATTCAACAGATATATTAAACCATAAGAGCTGAAAAAAAATGAAAAGTGTGTCAGTCGTTTTTCAAGTCAGCCATTTGAAATCCACAATTTCGGGTCAAAAATTTTCCAGCTCCCGCTTTTCGCTCCGAAACAATGACGAATTCCACTATTTTTTTCTCAGATAACACTCCGATTTCGAACTTGATCTGGAAAAACAGACCTGTATGTCCGGCTGTTCGTTCTCCTCCAACACGAAAGAGTGTTTTTCCTCACTGGCACCTCCCCCTCCCCTGTTGAGAAGCAGCACCATCAGCAGAGGCCTCTCATCATCACCAACCTTCCTGCGTCTCACTGGCAACAAATAACCCAATACCCAATCATACTCGAGTAGCGAAATTAGCTAGCCGGAAATTAAAGCTCAAGATTATTCGACATTATCTCATTGTGCTATTAACAGTAGTGCCAAAGTATGTCGATCAAATCATGTCTGTCCCTTGCCTTTAAAATCGATAATGAGACAAAACTAGGTTTTTAAAATCTCTGCACAAATTTTTCACTTGAAGACAGTAGAAACTATACCATGTTGCAATGATTCCACGGCATATCAATCTCATTTAGCGGTTTTATATAAATAACTATAACCCCTCCTGCCAACACTCGTCCCTATAAAGACACTAATTCAACAGATAAGCTTGTAGAAACTTTCAACATATTGACAAAATTTTGCCATGGGGGATTAAAAAATATGACTGATGACAGGATGACCCAGGATGCCAGATGACAAATTAGCCTTACTCTACTACCCGTATAGACTCCACTGACCTGTGGGGTCTGATGGAGATGTTGTGTCGTGGAAGAGAGCGTACTTTCTGGGGTCGTCTGCCACGTGGAACTTCTGCAGCAGTTTGCTCACCACCACCCTCCTGCAGTCACCGCTGTGACACCTCACTGCATGCTCACTCCCATACGGCAAGTAGAATGTGGTTCTGTTCTCACTCTTGCTCCGCTCAAAACTAACAAACAAAATGTCAATGAGCTCGAGAAAAAAACGTGATTGACTTTTTTGAATACTTTTCAAGTTTCTAAGAAAAAATGAACACTCTGAAACTGACAAACGAAACCAGCAGACAGTTTGCGAATTGTCAATTAGTTCAAGGAGACAAAAACATGATTAGCTTTTTTGAATATTTTACAAGTTCCAAGTTTTTAGACAGGGCGAAGCTTTGCTTCGCAAACATTAGCGAGAACCCGACAAAGCAGCTCTTTAAAAAGCAAAAAGAAAAAGTAGAAATATGCCTCGAATTAGTCTGGGTCCGATTCGATCTCCGACCTACTGCGACCCAGAGTTTATGAGTCTCACGCACTAACCACTCAGCCGCGGACGCTTAATAAATCACAAACACTAGCCACAAATAAAGCAGAAAACAGATGCTATAAAAATTCGAATGCCACAGATCGTGATTATGTGCTCGCAACTGTAAAGAAAGAATGAAAGCTCTGCAAGGCTCTTCCATTTCGAAAAACCTTTGAGTGACAATTTTGAGATTTGAAAAATGTGCCAGAATCGCAGCATAAAAATTTTACTGTAGAAACAAACATCGACATCTTTTTCAAATAACAATATTACAAATTAGGTGCGACTAACCCTTTTTATTCATGAAAGCTAACATGACAAACTAAAACAAGGCGAAAGAAGCGTTTGTGAAAAAGGAAAATCTGATCATTTTTTACGCCTCAGTATTTTAAATCATTACAATCGGAAAGAATCAAAATTTTATAAAATTAGGAGCACGCTATTGATTTTCCGAATAAAAAATGCAAAAATTAAAAAATATATTTATAAAAAAAAGTTCCAAAATTTAGTTAAAAATTTATCGAAAGAATATTATTAAAACTTCAGCCAAAATTCTTGGAACGCAATTATTAGCGCAAAACGGGAATGCATTGAAAGGGTTTTTAATTATTTGAAAGGATTTTAAATATTAATTTTTAAGTAAAAGTTTAAATCATAGGAAAATTCCGCGCTTTGGCAACTGCGCTGACAAATAAGCAGCCAAATAAAATCCGTTTCAATCAACTACCCATATTGGTTTTTAAAAAATGAATTCTCAAGAAATCACATGTAATGATTAGTGAGATGTGTCGATTGAGGCTAATGGTGCGCGACGTAAAGAGCATATAGCCACTGACCTCATGTTTTTTCCGACACTCTCGAGGGAGAAGTCGAGTGCCACTTCGTTGGCCACACTTATGGGTCTGTGCAGACACAGAGTCACGTGCAGGAAGCCCTCAAATTCCACCGGATCTCCCTGCTGCTGCTGATAGTCCGAATCCGCCGATGTACTCTTGTCTTTGTTCTTCTTATTCGAATTGGATGAGGGAGAGATGATGAAGTCTTTGGAACGGGATTTGCTCTTGGACACCTTCTTCACCTACAAACAGCATGACAATTAATTTAAGGTGAAATTGTTGGCAAAATTTTTTCGATCGATGAATCTGATCGAAGCTGCTCAGCCTATAACTGCTCATGTTGACGTCAGAAACCAATTTTCAACTCATTTGAGAACTTAAAACGCATGTATCAAAAATCTAATTAGGCTAGAAGGCACTGATTTTTTTTTTCATTTAAGTTGCTCAAGATTACTGATCTTGCCAACAAATCGGTATTAGCTAATTAAATGACCAGGATTAATTACATAAAACTATAAGATCGAATTACATATAATAGAACTACTCTATTAAGAAGAAAAATATATAACAGTAATCAAAAGAAAAATCAACTAACATTTATATAAGTAGTCTACTCACAATGCGAATGTCTGCATGTGGATTCTGTTTGGCATACTCCAGTATCATTTTCTCCAAGTCCTTCGCTTTCAGTTTACTCGGCAAGGTACTACTAATAATACTATCATTTCTACTGGTGACAGTACCCCCACTACTGCTGTGCTCTGTCTGTAGTGTGCTGTAATTGGACCAAAACCCCTTTCCAGAAGTCTCCTTCTGACCTGCATCCCTCCTCTCTTCGTGTAAAAGTTTCGGTCCAGCTGCCGACCCCACTAACTTCGCGTTTTCGACGTCATTCAAAATATCAGACTGAATATCTGTCGATTCTCTGTTGTTTAAAGTGCTGCTGCGTCTCTGTATTGTTGACGCCTAAAAATACATTTAAATTATTTTGAGCATATCTCGATAGCTCTTTCTAGAACTCATGTCAATGGACCCAATAACCATATTTACGATGTTTAAAACACCCACCTGTTTAAATTCTCTTTTCTTTGCTGTTTTACTAAAAACAATGGGTCGATTGATACATCCTTTTGTTTCAATCAGTATCTAAAGTTATAAGTCTCGATTAGATTAAATGATACATCATAGTCGATCTGGTCCTAGAGTTAAAATGATACTTATTTAAACAGATAAATTAAAAAGGATGATTAAAAAAGAAATGTTTAAAGTTTATGCACAACTGTTCATCTATTGTTAACTTTTACCAATGGTATGTGAGTTCTGATTTATTATTTTAGTACTTTTCTCTCTTACAATAATTAAATGTGAGTTAGTGGAGAGAAGATGGGGAAGAAGTTATTGTCCGCTGCTCGTCGAAAATCGGGTACAATGTCCAGCGACCGCTGTCAATTGAGAAGTTTGTCCGATTCGAGGGTGATTGCTCTCGGTGTCCGTTCGAATTGATATATTTAACTTAAGAAACTATTATACTTAAAGTTTTTTTAGTATTGAGTGACTGTAAAAAAATTACGAGAACAAAAAATTTGTTTTTATTTTTTTGAGAAAGAAGTAAGAAAAAGAATAGAATAGCTCAGCCGTCTGTTTGGGCTAAATAAATTATAGTCACTGAAAAATGCAGGCAGGCTCAACCAATTCCATTTTAGTTTGATTTTCTCGTCACCTATTAGACTTCAGTCCTCTTTTAACCTCTAATCCTCCTTAAGATCAGGAGACAAACATTTGCGTTTTATCGACTTTTTTTATATTAAAAAAATGATATTTGATTTAACTAGGGGAACTCACCTGCTTTAGTTACTTTAAAATTCAGAGCAGTGGGGGATTTATCTGTTTTCAAAGCTAAAACAAAAGCACACTCCGCCTGACTGGCGTCGTGGATAAATATTAAGTTCTCTTGATCATCTGTTGCACTTTTTTTTTTAATTCATTGCCTCTTTCCAACTTAAAAATAATAAAAAAGAATAAAAAATGATTAGAAATTGAAAATTTAGATATTTGGTTTGACTTTAAAGGTTTTAAGTTAAATACTTCAGTCAAAATCTCAAGCAAATGTTAAACTAAAAATGCATTCTTATCTTAAGGTGCAAACGAATTTAGAATAGAAAGAGTCGAATCGAAGTTTTTGTTAACAATTAAAACAAGCCTTTGATATTAGTGTAGCAGTTCGAAGACTACAACTCGCCCACTTTTCAGATGAACAGTTGTGAAGGCAGTCCCTCAAAAAGGCACTGCTTAAACGTGAATCCAATTATAAAATAATTTGCTTAAAGTAAAAATGTTAAGGTGAACTTGAAAAAAGAAAAAACTTTTAAAAACGTTAGTTGGACAAAAATCTATGTTTGTTCTCCAAAATCACATTTTAGTTTCTTAATACTTTCATCTTTTTTTTCCAGCTGCCTCTAATTGTCTCTGCAATTCCTTTTTTGTTTCCCTTTTTCTTTTGTTTTTCAGTCGCATTTTTTCCAATGCTTTTGTCAGCTGATCCACGTCATGTTGATCGTCCTTTTCGGAAAAAGCGGTGATTCAATTGAATGGGACGCGCAGAGTTGTCTCATCCGATTTCACTCAGTACTCCCTTTGAGTTCGCTTCTTCAGTTTAAAGTAGTTGTTCTCTGCGCTGAGTGAAAAATACTCGTTATTGAATAATTTTTCGAGACAGGGTGGTTGTGTAACCCGTGGCAAAATTTTTTGCTTCAAAAGTCCCCTGAAGCTGCCACTTGAAGTCCGGCTTCAAGGAATACTTCAGAGTCGTAAACAATTGAGGATTATGGTGAGATAGTTTCATCTCGCGCTCTTTCTGTACACGTAACCGCTCGGCTACTTCCCTGCTTCCTTTGGCAGGCCATCTTCAAAGGCAGAGAGGCTGGGTTTATGTGCCTCTTTCTAATTCTGGTTTGCCTTTTATGCAAAGGCCTGGATATTTTTACCGGTTCTGGTGCCGGGTCTGCGTTGAGGCAATTTCAGTTTGATACTGGGTCGTACTCTAATTCTAGAGATATAAATTGGTTTTTGTTTTACACCATTATAATGAGGTTGCTTTTCTTTACACCATTTGGGAAACATCATTTGTACAAAACAGTTTTTAAAAGCAAAGTAAACATTGAAAAAATGGAAATTTGGGAGTTAATTAATCCCAAGTCTTAGTTTTATGTCCACCTGGTGTGATCCGCAGGCTACCAGGGGGTCCCCTTTTACACGTAAGAACGACTACAAAATGGGGGAATGGTACCTTTTTCAACCTTTTTGACATATTATATGTGTATTACACAGTCCCACCACGATGAAAAAAGAATGTACGATTTTCTGCGTTTGATTTGCCATAGCTTACAGAGTTTTCTTCTGTGGGCTTTTGCGAAAATTCTTCTTGGGCCAGAAGTTTTCCAGACAATAAACCAATAAGACAAATAAACAAGGAAGAGAAAAAATATAAAGGTACAAAACTGTGTAAAAACGTAATAATAAAAAACTGGATCTTTGCTTTTGGAAAATTTAATTTCAAGGGTCGGAGAAGTCGTATTTCATTTAGCAGCTGAAGCAATCTGTTGTTGATAGCGGCAAGGAGTCACTGCAAAATTTGAGAGACAGATGATTATCCGTCAAGTTTCGATAACTTATGATATATTTACTTCGGGAATCACCAATCTACTTTTTGAAATTTTGTGGCATATATCGCACGGTACGTAATAAGGACAATGCGCGGACTGGTGTAGGGATTGAGTAGAGAATTTGTCCCTATTGGGCAAAAGTTTTCTTTATTATTTCGTCGCAGTCTGTACAAACAAGATGGAGAGGTTGGAGTGGCAAATTTTTTTTGGAAGCCGATTTGGGTTCATCACATATTGGTCAAGTATGTTTAGGGATCGACCTACTGCAATCAAGAGATTTTGAAGTCTCACGCACTATCCACCAAGAATAACAACCGAAAAACACTAGTCACGAATTAAGCAGCTACATATGCTAATAAATTGCCAGTGCCATTCAACAAAAGTGGCACCAAATAAAAAAAACGCAATCTTGCAAGTTATAATGAGGATTATAACCAACTTAAGGCATCCACACTAACTTTGCATGAAACAAATCGCAAAGCATAAGGCCAAATTGTATACATTATGCATTTCAAAAAAAATTGTGAGATATATTGAGCTAGAAAAATTCTGAAGCCCATGCTATGACGGAGCTGTAAATGTATCCCAAAAGTGGCACCAATATTTGCGATTTAAATTGGAAAAAAAGAAGGTTTGTACTAATACACTCGCTTCGCAAGTATAAAAACGTTTTTTTTACTAATAAAAATAGAAAAAGGTTTGTTACAATATACAACAGTCCAATACAAAATAGTCCAGAAAAATCATGTAATGAAGGAAAAAACAGTTCAATACGAAACAGTCTGGTTTAAAGACGCCGGTGGGCGCGCTACGCGCGCGTCGATAACCGGCTCTAAATTTCGTATTAATTCCTACCCTCTGTTGGCAAGCTTGCAACACGTTGGCGAGACTGCGGCGATCACTATTTTTTTTAAAAATGTTTGTTAAACAAAGGAAATTTCTCGGCCTACCGGCTGGTTAAAACAATTATTACTTGGGACTGTTTTGTATCGGACTGTTTTTTCGTTCATTTTCAAACTTTTGCGGACTGTTTTGTATTTGACTGTTTTGTACAGACACGTATTTTTTTTAATACTCGGTCTACCGTTCCCAACTTACCCTGGAATAAAGCGTGTTGCTTCTGTGTAGTCGTTTCGCCCATTTCTGCACCTGCTCTTCCCTTCCCGGCGGCACTCCTCTCCCCTCGTTCCCATTTAGTTTTTCCACACCACCAGTTCTGTTTTCTTTTGTTTTCCTCTGACTAGTTTCTTCCTTCATCCGGAGACTGGCCTCGAACTGGGTGGGATCTTTGATGGTGTAGAACTGTTCCTCTTCATCTTCCATCGATCTGGGAGAACTATCATCGTTTCCTTGTGAGTTCATCTCCGGCAGATCTAAAAAAAAAATTAAGAATTTTTTTATTTGACGGATATGCTGCTCTTTTCCGGATTACCAAAAACCAAAGAATTAAGAAGATAATGACGATATACAAAAACAAAAGCCAATAATTTCTCTTTAGGGGTCTATCAATACCAGGTCTATAAATAACTTCATGTGTACAGCACTGGTAAATAGGAAACAAAATTTAATAAGTACCCAATGAAGCAGCACCACTATTCGGTTGAGATGACAAGCTTGAGACTGTAGCGGCCGCCGATTCGGCTGAATGTTCGCTGACCACGGAAGATGATGACGACACCCCAGTTAAAAGACCTGCCGGTTCTTCTGACTGCAACTGATGGCGATGTGTGGACTCTCTGTCAAGGAGATCTCGCTCCAGTTGTTTTTCCAACTGGAAAGGGCAGTCCAACCCCACTCCCGGCAAACAGCTCTCGTGGCACAAATAGCCGCAGTCTAAACAAGGTTAAATTCTGTGTTTTTACAGTGTGTTTCCACTGACAAGGACACCCAATATCTCACATAAGTACAAATTAAATTTGATTTTTAAAACTCACCCTTAAAAATTGACAGCAACCAAAACTATCGAAATAAGCGAAGTAACCTCAAAAATATTGGAATTATACCCATACATTTAGACAACGTACATTTAATACTCATCAACTTCTTTTTCGAAAACGAATACTACAAATTATAGTGCAAGAGTGCCATTATTGCGCATCATGCTATGTTATCAGGAACATCAAATAACATTCGATTCAGTCACCTTTTTAGCTACTGATCAATGAAACTCGAACCTGATTAACTAAACAAGCAAATAAGTCGTCACATACTATAACCAAGTTACTTAAAACTATCTCTACACATGTTCCAATGGTATAACTGCTCTTTGAACCGATACAACCAACAAACAATTCATTATATTAAAGATCCTACATGCATGTTTTTCCTGAAATTATTCCAGGTCCATAATTATAGCAGTAAATATTAGCGCGAGCGAAAGCTCTTACCATTGTAACAGATTGTTAAGTAGTAAGCAACACATTGTTTATGTTTGTTCACACTACATTCACATACTCTGTATTATCATACCATCTACATACACTTAATGATGAAAAAACTAACGAGTGAAGCTTAGGGACTTAAAAATCGTCTTACTATCGAAAAATTATTGTTATAAGTAGCAGATTATTTACTGAAACTTCGAAAACTATTCGCTATTTCAATCAGACGAACGAATTCACCACACATTAAAACTAAAGTTTAGAATAAAATTGTGTTTCCAAATAAATTGCGAACAAAATTGTGTTATCAAAACTCAAATTCAGAGAATAAAATTGTCTTCGCATAAGTCTACAACAAAACACTTGCCGAAACTCAAAAAGAAAACTGGTCTTTTGAAAGAAGACAGTCAAAAAAATGCAAACCTCTCCTTCCAATTCTAACCTTATTAAGTCAATGGAGCTGACTACCTTGCCATGTCTTCCCCTATGTTGTGCAATTGGTAAGTACACTGACAAATTAGCAATGTATGTCTTGAAAGCCAGCTAACAACTTAGAATAATTCTTTGATAACGCGCGCCCATGACGGTTCGTTAGTTAAGCTACACGACACAATACATTATTACCATGAGGCCTTTTTTTACATTTTCAATTCGATACCGATATACTACTAAAAAAAACAGAAAACATGAAGAAATAATTCCGAGCATGTCAAAAACTGCCAGTAACAGGAAAATTCTGCGCTGCTTGAACATTAACCCTTTACACTCGAATAACATTCCTTAACTATGTTTAGAATGTCTGCTAAAGCAACCCGAAATCACAAGTTGCTTTGAAATGCCTCCGAAAACCGCATCACAATTCACCTCACTCAATGACAGTAACAGTTCACGTGTTGTGAGCAAGTGCAAGCTATCTGTGTGTCGGATGAGTCTAGAGGGAACAGAAGAGGTGTCCGTGTTCTCTCAGCTGTTCCGACTTCTCAGCAGCAAATCCATTCCTCAACTGTATTGTGAAGGAGTTTACATACAACATTCACGATCTATCTTGAAGTGAGTGTGTAAATTGTAGATAGAGGAGATTACATTGCTATATGCAACTCCATCATTTGACCATTGCGTAAATAGACATTGAGAACTACAAATTAAATTCCTCTTTGAACCATAGAACATATCCTACGACCCAAAAATTTTCGTTGCTTTATTTCGAGCAAGGCTCAAAACAGGACCAATCAAAGAATTAGTTTTCGAAAAAGATTTTTTTTTGTGTTTGAGAAACTAGCTTTTCAATTTTAGCGCTAAAAGTATTTGCGTAACTTCTAGATTCCTATCAAGCTATTGCCCTTCCTCCTCTTGGTACCCAGCAGATGACAATATCCTGCTCAGAGCGAGAGTAGATGACCTTCTAGAGTTAGATGCCACCGTTATCTACCCCGAAGTAAGCAGACACCTAGCGGAAAATATCTTCCAGGACAATAAGTCACAAAAACAGCAGACCAGTGCAAATAGACCAGGCCCTACTTCTAGAAACAACTTATTGGTAAGTAGAGGCGCATCTAAAACTTTCTCGAGGATGAGGGGGGATTTACAAAATAATGAAATATCGAAATATTTTTAGAACTCTTAATTGATTTTCCGACCTCTCCTTGAGCACAGAAGACCCTATCTTGCCAAAAAAATTATGCGACAAGATTTTGAAAAGTGCAAAAAAGCCATGCCATTTTTAACATTTTTGGAAAAATCTGTTTGGAATGACTTTGCTTTTGGTCAGATCATGTGAAATAGTTCATTGTGTTTTTTTAGCTGGTAATAAGTTCAAGACATGATCATCATCATTGTTATCATAGAAATTTCGGTTGATTGAAGCAAAGTTTCTTAACTTGAATATTTGTGAATTATTAACTTGTGAGTAAAAGACAGGCTAAAATCAGTGAAAAAACTTAAGAAACTTAGTTTTTTGCTTTAAAATACGCAGTGATATACTTATAAGCTTCTCTGAGATCTGAAGTATATTCTAAGCATATCGACTAATCGCAATATATTTCGCGTAGAGGTACCACAGGGCTGACAGATTGGAAGAGAGCTTGAATCTAGTTAGTAACCTCTATTCGCAAAAAAATATCGCAGGAATTTTCACTAATTTTTAATGCGATCAGAACTTTTTAATTGCGAAAACAGCAGAGCTGCAGCATTGTATCAGCGCTAGCTCAGCACGGCAATTTCTTTTTTTTCTGAAATTATTTCTATCAGTGTTAAGTGACACTGACGCAGCACTGTTTATTATTGACACCTAAAAACAAACCCAATAAAGTTAAAATAATTTGAGAAATCCGCTGAGAAAGCTTACCAACAAAATCAATCTAAAATGAACTAATATAAAGCAAGATTACTCGTATATCAGAGCAAATGCAATGCAAAAAAGACATTCAATTCTGTTCGAATATGCTGAAATGTTGAAACAGTCTTTTGCAGGAATGGAGCTTCTTTAATCAGTATCATTGGGAAACGGAGGTAATGTGATTTTTAGTAGTGTCTAAACGAAGGTATCCAAAGTTGGAAAACTGTTAATAAACTCACGGATACCGGAAAAGTTAGTTTCTTTGAAAACTTTCCACCCTTAAAAGGAAAAAAACATCATATGAAGGCTTTTGTTTTTCAAAATCGTTCAACATTGAGATTTACTACATAAAACTAATCTAATTAACTAAAACTGGGTAACTTTTTTTCATTCTACCAGGAAATTCAAACATAATCAACAGATCGCAAGTTAAACATCTCTTCTTTCAAATCTCAAAGAAAAAAATAGATAGCTTTAAAACTTTTTGAAAATGCTTTATAAAAATTAACCCGATTTGGGAAAACTGGATCAATGGGTGAATATTTTATTGAGCAAGGAGACCTGAAATTCAAATCCTTTTTCAAAATTAGAAGTTGATCATCCTTTTTCGTGACCTTTACACGTTTGCTGTTCTTTAACAAAAGAAATAAACTGAACTTATAAAGAAATCAAAAGTCAAACCGCAAAAAAGTAAAATGTAAGACTTTTCCTGAAAAATAATTTAAAAAAAAACGCCACGACCTATATAAAAATCTGACCTATATAAAACTCTTAACTATTCGACAACTGACTGAATAAAAAACCACGCCAAGCATAAATATTCGGAACTTTCTTCGAAAGTCGCAACAATAAAAACTAACTCGAAATCGATCGCGCTTTTCGTGACCTTTACACCTTTGCTCTTCGATAGTGGAATTGGCCTTTCTTTTAACGAAAGGAAAAGAACTGATCTTAAAAGATCAAAATTGAGCGTGAATAAAGTTTACGGCTTTTTTCTAAAGAAAAAAAAACACAAAAAATCATCGCGACTTAAAACCAATTTCGATACTAAATCAATCGCGTGATTTTACACCATTATTTGAATTACGTAATTGGAGAGCAGAGTTTACCTGTTTTATCAAATAAAACTGAATTGAATTTGATTGGAAATCAGAAGGCAACTAAAAAAATAAATTAGCGTGAACAACTCTAAGATCTTTTCCTATAAAAAAACGATAAAAAAATCAATTTTACCTATATAATTATCTTCTCTATCGTCATTGACATTTTAACAGTATTGATTTTCACTGGCGGATGGTTCAGGGTTTGAAAAAAATCGACACACAGCCAGATATCCTTATATTTAAATCCTAATATCATTTTTTTCCAGGACTGCCTGAGCACCCTGGATGAACACTTGCGGAACAATGGATTAAGCTGTCGTTTCTTGTGCGGACCCAGTGCGACCATAGCAGACTTGAGTATAGGCATGGCCATTGAATATCTATTACTTAGTGGGTTCATTCTCTCCGCCGATGATCACAACAACATACAACACTGGCTTGACAAGTGCAGACAAAACATAAGTAGGCTTCTCTTTAAATTAACAAAATTCCGAAAACTATCAAACCTTTGCAAAGTTAGCTCAAGAAAAGCTAAATAAAATAATTAAGTTTCGACGTTTTCTTTTTTTTTTACGACGAATACTAAGCAAGTACAGCATTCTTCCTACTGCTTATCTTCTAAAAGGTTTAATGAAAACACATTTCAAGAAAACGATACAGCCTTTCGAAACCAATTAGAGTCAGTCGACCGAAAATGGATGTCGCAAAATTGAACCCCTAAGGCGAATCGCACATCTGCTTGTGTCCCCCTAAATCCGCCCCTGCTAATAATATACAACAGAGGGTTTCTAACATGAATTGGTTGTCTTACAGAAAAACCAGCTCCATCGTAACCAAACTCTTAAAATTTTGAAGCATACAATTTTGAATTTGCAAAAAAAAGTATATATCCGAGGGGGATTCAAACAAAGTCTATAACCTGATTTGAATGCACGTGCATATTATATACCAAGAAAATACCAGTCTCATTTAGAATGTTTGAATTGTTAATAGAAGGCTGGGATGAGAGTTTGCAGCCAATGAAGAGTTGGATTGACCAGGCATCCAACACGAGCAACCAAAAACTGTCCGCTGCCATCAGCACTTACAGACGACTCTCAACACCTTCTGTTCTATTAGACGAGCCTAGCTTCGACTTCTCTGAGTAGCAGAGGCATTTGAAAAAGGAGAATATCTGCTTGAAACTCCATCAATACAGAGATTCCTCAATTCCACCATTGAGAGAACATCAGAAACCATTGAGAAAAAACTTGGGCTTTAAAATTTTTTAAATTTTGTTGAACACCGTTTGTTAAGACAAGCTACAGATGAGTTTACAAATCACGAATAAATAACTCATTGACAGTAATTTGAAAAAGTCCTCAGCGGCAATTAAGTCAAACACGGATCAAGAATCGCACAAAATTCAATGAGTCCTATAAACCCTACTCTGCTTTAAAATTACTCTCTACTCTTTGTTGATCAGTCAAATTTAGAGTCAATCAGTGTATTGTTTATCTGTAAATTGTTCAAACTAGATATATATATAGCTCGATCTTTAATTTACCATTAATACCTATCCTATTGCTGCCAGGCCTCAGCAATCCTGTTCACAAATTGTTCACCCGGCATTTTGCACGTAAGAAATTTTGTGAAAATTTGTTCACCTGTTCACGCTGACATGTTTTAATGCAGTTGATAACATGAAAAGTCATTTTAAATAAGTTTTCATATATTAAATTTCCGAAAAAATCAAAGGGGGACTGGAAAAGAGCCCTTTATAGCTATTGAAAAATTTCAGAAGAAAACACGAATTCTGGACACAAACTGAGATAGAAGAAAATAGTCAACAGACACAGGCTGCTCAAATCGGTCAGAGAAAAAAGTGACCTACTTTTTTTTAGAGTCTCTCCCAAACCACTTTAAAGGCCCTAATTTAACTAAGTTTTCTGCGCCGCAGGCAAATTTTGTAAAAATGTCAAAAAAGGCGTTATTAGGCACTTTTTGGAAAATTTCGCGTTTTTCGCCGCGCGCTCCCCCCTCAAAATTAGTATAGATTGGCGCCCAAGGCGCCTTTAGAAAAATTTTATGGTCAGTAAGCCAAAAGTGGATATCTCAAAATAGTACAAAGTGGGACCCTTTGGGTCAGCAGGGTCGTCCCATGATCTTATCTGGAAAGACTCTCGTCAACAACAGTTTCAACAAAAAGTGACCTAGAAAGAATAAGTGACCAAAAGTGACCAGGTCACTTAAAGTGACTAGTTTGAGCAGCCTGAACAGACAGTTGGAAAAGAGTCAATGAATGCAAGTAAGCAGAAGAAAAAGCTGACTTGTCTTTTTTTATTTCACCTTTCGAATTTCAAAGAAAAAAGATGCCCCTAAAGAGCGTGGAATTTCTAGAGCAACTTATGCTTGGCAATTTTTCGATAAAATTAATCCAATGTGAGAAAGCTGGATCAATAGGTTAATTTTTTATTTCGCTGGTAAATCTGAAAACTCAATTTTTTTTTCGAAACTAGAAGTCGATCAGGTTTTTCGCTGTTCAATAATGGAGTTTGCCTTCCTTTTAAAAAAGGAAATGAACTGAACTTTGAAAAAATCATAAATCAAACCGCAAAAAGTAAAGTTGAGCCTAAACAAATTCAACGGCTTTTTCTGAAAAAAAAAATCATCGAAGAAAAAATTTTGAAGTAAAAACGCATCACGTTTAAGATTGAAATTCAAGAATCTTTAATTATTAATTGCAAAAACTGCGTCAATATAAAAAAAATTTTGCCAGTTAATCTTAAAAACCAAATTTTCTTTCGAAAGTAGAAATTTTAACAATTTTTTTGCTCCATTTGCATTTTGGCAATTGAAGAATATAAACTTCCTTCTTTTTAGCAAGCAAATTGAACTTAGACGGAAATCAATTTCAAACCGCGAAAAAATACATAATTGAGCATGATCAAATTCTAAGAATTTTTCAAAAACAAAAAGCACGCGTCCAAATAATTTTCTTGACTGCGTTCATTGACGCTTAAGAATCATTGACTTAAATTTTTTATATTTCGCAACATTTGAATAAAAATACATCATTTTAAAGCTCTTTCCCATAATTTAAACAAATTTTTCCGATTGAAATTTTTCATAAAACTAATCCAATAGGAGAAAACAGCCTTTAAGTAACTTTCATAATCTGCTAGGAGCTCAGAAAATTAGCGTGCAAATTTGAAACCACCTCGCATTTACCTTTTTTTCGCGAAGTTTCCGCTTCGAAATTGAAGAGCGTAATTTGCTTCTTTTTCGCAAATGAATTGAACTTAAAAACCGCTAGAAAATCAAATACCCAAGTGAGCAATTATCAAGATTTTTTCCAGAGAGAAAAAACAAGCAAGAAAAAATCATTAGACCTAAGCAAATTTTAAATCACTGTGTTCATTAAAACTCAACAAAATTATATAAATAACAGCTTTTTATTCCCACAACCTTTTAGTAGGAAACCAACATTAGCAAAACGTTCTTCACCAGCAACGAACTACAGTGAATAAAAACATTTACAAAGCCGAAACATAGCTAACGGTGAGTTGGAAAAATTTAAATGAACTCAAAGAAACCCTCATTTGAAAAGATGTGCTCTAAAATAAAAAAAAAACAAATGCAAGAACTCATGTTCGGACAGTAGCTCAAAAAACGTTAGAACTTCGCCAAAAAAATCTGTGTGTGACGACATCAGGACGAATCCGATGTCAAGGAAAACTGTATCAAACACTTCAAGTAAAGCATGTTTTCGTTATAGCATAAGTTGATACTGAAAATGTTACCAGCAAATGATTTTTTTCTCATTTGCAAAAAAAAAGACTAGTATTTTTTTGCCAAAAAAATGACTACAGTACCTCTCAAAATTAATCAATTATTACCACGTCAAGGAAAACAAAAAACTTCAAAGCACGTCGGTAAATTAATTTTTTTTGGGTAAATTAATTTTTTTGGGGCAAAATCCCTAATTTTCATGAACAACAGCGCACCAAAGAAGTCTCGAATTTTTCTATTTTTAAAAATCTTTCATTGTTGTTCCGACCATTGAAAACAGGGAAGAACTTTGTATTCGGGTGTGTTCTAGTTTTTTCCGTTTTTGTTTTCCACTCAAAATCATGTACCAAAAACAATCATCGGAAAATGTCGAGTGATATACCATATTAAGGCTCGTGATTCGAACGACATTAAACATTTTGAAATTTTTTTCTCGGTGTCCAGAAAAACGGGTTCAAAATTTTAAGATGTTTCGTCTAATTTCGGGCAAATAAAACGAGTGAGCTTGCTTAAAATAGCTTATTTATGCTTAATTTAGGCCGCTAAAACTAAGTTATTTTTTGTAATTTGTTTGCGCCATTTTGGGAATCAAAAACATTCAAAACATTTTAAAAAAAATTCTGTAACTTCTGATTTTTTTCTTTCTTTTTCCAAAAACTGCTTTGCAATTTGCGTATTTTATAATGACTGTCGAATATGCCGAAGTTCTAAAAAAAATTGTATTTTTTAAGACCATGGTCGGAACATTCTGTGGTACTTGCACAGCTACCAGTAGCCTTGTTCATTTTGACTTACGTTCACAACGGAGAGGTTGATAGAGCAGACTGATGATTGCATCACCACAAATATCACACCAGAGAGGGAAATCCTTTTCATCCTCAACTTCAAACTGGTGCCCCTTGCCCCTCTCCCGCCTCTTCCCAATCCCATCAATCCCACTAGATCCAGACACCTCCAGAGTCTTTTGTCCGGTAGCACTATCGTTCTTGGAAGATTCGGCTGCACTTGTAGGTGACTGGGTCATGTGATTGTTGCTGTGATTGTCTGTGTTTAGAACTCCATCTTGTCCGTCAATCGCGAGTGATTTCCGAATGATGACACTGTTGCGGTCACGCCTAGATAAAAAAAAATGAACTATGGATTGTTCTAATTTGTTTTAAAGACAAGTAGCGAAGTGCCCTATTTCGAAAAAAAACATAGCCAACAGACAGTTGGAAAAGAGCCAATGAACGAACGCAAGTAATCAAAAAATTTACATTGACTTTCGAATTTCAAACAAAAAAATGACGCCCTTAAAGCTTTTTGAATTTCTGAAAAAATTTGTGTTTGGAATTTTTTTGACAAAATTAAAATTATTTGAGAAAAATGGATCAAAGCGAATTTTTTTATTCCACTTGAAAATCTGAAAATTAAATTCCTATTTCGAAACTAGAAGTCAATCACGTTTTTCGTGACTTTAACACTTCCGCTGTTTGATAGTGGAATTTGCCTTCCTCTTAACAAAGGAAATGAACTTAAAAAGAAATCAAAAATAAAACCACGAAAAAGTAAATTTGAACCTGAACGAATTTTACACTTCCTGAAAAAATCATCGGGATCTATATAAGAGTCTGAAATATTTAAAGCCGAAAAGAAAAGATCTAATAGCACAATAATCCAGCTTCAAGCAGGATTGAACAAATCTGACCAAAGCTCTATGCATAACACAACAAGAGCTCGCTGTGCAAATGGCACAGAATGTTGCGACCACAGACATTTTTGTTGAAAATTTCAAATTGTAACTCAAAAATAAAAAATGTATCAAAAATTTCTTGGTCGGAACAAAAATTTCCAGTTAAACTATTACTTCAAATCAAACTTACCATTCTGATGCCATAACTCATGTATGCAATAAACTAATTCCAACAGAAGATTAGACATAAATAGAATAAAGGAAACTTTGTATTAGAAATATATACATAACTGTATAAGAGAAAGTCTGCAGCGACTGTTTTAGTTTTATATAATCTGTGACTTGCGTATGACTTGAGGCATCGATATAACCTAGACAGCAACTAAAGTCTACTTGAACTACTTTTAACACAAGTAATATAGCACAATTTTGAATTTGACGGTATCTACATGTAAATTTGATGGTGTGATTCGACTTTCTAATGTTCAGAATAATGCAGTCAGTTTTACCTTGAAATAAACCTAACACAACTACCATAATAAAAAAGGCTTAGAACAGGAGTCATCCAATCCAGTCAAGAGTCTGTTAGCGCTATAAAAACAATACTGCTTTTGATGTCTAACACATTTGACCTCAGGGTCCTTTTAGTGCTCATAAGACAAACGCAATAACAAATTATAAATTGCTTTTTCATGAGTTTTCTGGTAGCACATGCGCGGTGGTAGCATATAACCAGCATGCTTTGAGATTAAACTATTTATTTTCTCGTACATAATTCTTACAAGGGCAATCTAAACGCAAAAAAAAAACATCATTATAGAAAAAGTCAAAAAACTTGAAATCCTTTTTTATCAAAAATAATACAAAGAAATCAAATATAGGCGCCAGAGAAATTTTTGACCTTTTTTAAACGACCATTTCACTTTTTTGAAGCCCGTACCGTAACACCAATTCTTGCTTCATTACATTCATTATAACATTCATTGATAACATTGATAACAGATCAACTTATTGCTTTAAACGAAAGAGGGTATCAACCCAACCAATTTGAGGCAATGTCCAGAAAGATGTATTGGTACAAGTTATGAAGTCATTGAACATAGCCAATCGTAGATTGGAAAAGAGTAATGAACGCAATTAAATATATAAAAAAACACTGACTTTCTTGAAAAAATCTCAACTTTCGAATTTGAAAGAAAAAATAGATGCACTTTAAGCTCTTTGAATTTCTAGAACAATTCATTTGATGATATGAACGCAAGTTGAGAAAAGTTTGTAAAGTTTTTTATTCAGCTGGGAAACCTTGAAAATAATTTCCACTTTCGAAACTAGAAATCGTTCATGTTTTTTGGCGCCTTTCCACGTTCGTATTTGGAGAGTGCTATTTACATCACTTTCAGCAGATGAATTGCAATTGAACTCAAAAAGTGCATTATACCTAAAAGCGTTCATAAATGCATCAATACGTATGAATGCACATCTGTAGTTATTAGAGCATTTTAAGATTGTTTCCTGAAAACAAAATCAGCCAGACCTATATAAGAGTTTTCACTAGGTGCATTACTCTTAATAAAGAGTCTTCGACATTCAAATCTTGTTAAGAAGATCTTGTTAGAAGTTTCCAGAAAATTACACATTTCGCTGTCGAAGCATTGGTCGTACTAAGTAGCGACTTACCTGAAAGAGACACGCGATTCAACTCCTCTGTTGAAAAAGGTGGCATTTATAAAAGGTCTTTGCTGCACAACAGCCGACATAGGTCTCCTTAATCTGTTTCGCTTGAACGAAACCGAACACGAACGCCACTGGTATTCGGCATCGGCCATTTCCGAATCGTAGAAAGACCTTTCTTGGAGCGACATAACAGGAAAAAAACAATACTAACGAACGCCTCAGAGGAACTATTTGTTAACAAATGCTTCAGTGCTCAATTTCTCTTTGTGGCTTAATGCAAAATACAATATATTTAAATTGTAGAACAAGGGGAAAAATTATATTGTAAAGCAAATTCAAGGTTGTCCAAGCGCGTATATTGAATTTGAACATCCAACGCTGAGTAAAAAAATAAAATGTAAAAAAAATTGTTCACTGCGACAGCAATAACGTAACTGTTAGTGAGAAAATATTACAGTATATGCCTTATACGCGAAGTATTCAGTCAACGTTATCCGTATAAATTATGAAAGCAGCAAGCGGGAAGACATTAGATCGAATTTAGTTGGAAATTGCAAATTATCACTTGCAGCTAATTTGACCAGCAAGAAAAACAGGTTGACTTACTACCGTTCCGTTTCGTTCTCACAGCGAAAGTATTGGACAAGTGATTCGGCTAATCATAAACTAGTCAGCTGAAGTTTGTTTTGGCTTTAAAAAACTCTGAAGTATCAAGTTAAATGAAATCTGAGACGACTTCATGGCAGACTGCGAAGTGTTCAATTGTTCAGTTACGTGTCAAACACTATTTTCATTCCCAGTTAATAGTATTTATTTTGTTATAACAGCTGACATAATTATGTTGAACAATTTGAACAGGCGGCTGCAGAAATAAAATCCTTTTGTAAAAATAGCAAAACCAATTCAACCACAGTTGTGCTATTTGAACATGAAAAACATAGCCAACAGACAATCGGAAAAAGTCAAGGAAAGCAAGAAAAAACATCAACTTTCGAACTTTCAAAGTAAAAACTATATAGCCTTAATGCTCTTTAAATTTCAAGATGAAATTATGATTGACATTTTTAACTGAATTTGACAAAAAACTAAATCAATAGGCAAGGTTCTAATTCCGCTGGAAAATCTCAAATTCAAAGCCACTTTCGAGATTAGAAGACGCTCGTTTTTCGCACAAATTTCCACAAGAGCGCAATTTACCAACCTTTTAGCAGATGAACTTCAGTCGAACTCAAAAAGTGCATATAAATCTAAAAGCATTTATAATAGCATTAATATGTATGAATCAACTACTGAAGTTATCAAAGCATATTAAGACTTCCCAGAAAAAAAACAGAAAAAATCAGACAAGAGTCTTCACTACGTTCAGTGACTCTTAGAAAAATTATAGCCTTGAAGCTCTTGTATTCCGCTGGAACATCTGAAAATAAAATTCCATTTTCGAAAATAGAAGTCAATCAAGTTTTTTCAGACCTTTTAACTTTTGCTGTTTTATCGTCGACTTTGCTTTCCTTCAGCAAAAAACTGAGGTAAAAAAACCAAAACACAAACAGCAAAAATGAACTTGAGCCTGAACAAATTTTAAAATCTTTCTGGAAATAAAAATGAAAGAAATCATCGCGACCTATATCAGAGTCTGAACTACGTTCATGGCTCTTAAAAATACGATGACTTGAACAATATCAAAAAATCGAAACCATTCAGCAGATGAAATTCAATCGAACTCAAAAATTGCATATATACCTTAATTGCATCATAAATGCATTAATTTGTATGAATGCACGAGTTAAGTTACAAGAGCAATTTAAAACACTTTTCCCTGAAAAAAAAGAGTAAACAGAAAAATCACTAAAATCAATCTAAAAGTCTTCAGTAAATAAGTGACACTTCCAAAAAAAAATCACCTTGAAGCTCTTTTATTCCGCTGGGAAATCTGAAAATTGAATTCAACTTTCAAAACTAGAAGCCGATCACGTTTTTGTGAATTTCACCTTTTTGCTGTTCGATAGTGGACTTTGCCTTCCTTTCAACAAAGGAAATGAAGTTAACTTAACAATGAATCAAAAGTCTAACCACGAAAAAGTAAATTTGAACCTGAACGATTTTTAACAATTCCTGAAAAAATCATCGGGATCTTTTCCTGAAACAAAACAAAACATCATCCCGACCCATATAGGAAACGGAACTACGTAAATGACTCTTAAAAAAGATGACTTGGGAAATATCAAAAACGGAAACCATTTAGCAGATGAAATTCAATCAAAATCAAAAAGTGCATATTAACCTTAAGGCATTCATAATGCACTAACTTGTATGAATGCACGAATGAAGTTATAAGAGCAATTTAAGTCTTTTACCCTGTAAAAAAAACAGAAAAAAAATTAAAATACCTATGTAAGAGTCTTCAGTACATTCAGTGACTCTTAGAAAAATTATAGCCTTGAAGCTCTTGTTTTCCGCTGGAACATCTGCAAATAAAATTGCATTTTCGAAAATAGAAGTCAATCAAGTTTTTTCAGATTTTTTAACTTTTGCTGTTTTATCGTCGACTTTGCTTTCCTTCAGCAAAAAATTGAGGTAAAAAAACCAAAACTCAAACAGCAAAAGTGAATTTGAGCCTGAACAAATTTTAAAATCTTTCTGGAAACAAAAATGAAAGAAATCATCGCGACCTATATCAGAGTCTGAACTACGTTCATGCCTCTTAAAAATACGATGACTTGAACAATATCAAAAAATCGAAACCATTCAGCAGATGAAATTCAATCGAAC